ATGATCTGTTAATTGTTGAATGTTATAGTTGTTAGTGGTATTATGTGTAGTTTGTATGTATTTTGTTGTCTCGTGTTTGATACAGTGAACTAATTACACATGGTTATGAGAATATGCTCGGTTTCATGTGAAATGATGATTGTTATGGTCGTTGGTATGAACTGTTAATTTTGGGGGAGATAAAATTAAATTGTGGTGGTATAGTATATTATGATGATTCTTATGTATGACTGTAATTTCTGCAGACAGATTTAGATTTTTTTAGCTCTTATATTTTAGAAGAAATTCTACCGAAATTTTTAAAAAATAGTAGGGATTAACTTGATTTCAATTTCGTATATTAAAGCATATCATGTAAACTATTTTAAATTGACAGTTTATTTTCGGTTGCAAAATGTCTTTAGGCAATGTAATATTCTTTGAATTTTAATTTAATTTTTTGTTACGCCGTACCTTCAGGCACGAGCAATTACTAATATATATATACTCATCATTACCCATGCCCGAAGGCACTCTTAACACAAAAAACTCGCCCAGCAAATGGGGTATCTAGGAATGTTTTAAATAAAAGAAGTTCAAGGGTTAAAATGAAGAATAATCATGTAACATTAACACAATCCGAGAATCTTCATAAACTTAAACAAACACCATTACAAAATTATCATGTCATTTATTTCTTCATGGTGGCTCTTTTCTCCACCAAATGATTATTTATTTTTTTAACCTCTAGTTAAATCTAATGAATAGGTTCTCTAGTTTTAATAAATAATACCATTAAGAACACAATTAAATCACTGAATTCAATCAAACTAATTAACCACATTGAACTACAAATCAAAATTTCAAGATATAGAAAAATATCCAACTGAACTAACATTGCTCAGCAGATCTGCTTGTAGCTGCGAGGACAATTAATTTAAATTCTCTGCCGCTGTGACTTCTCAGATATTACAAAAATATACTCACGCTGCAATTAAACCAAATCAATAAAATAAAAAATTCACCATTTCAAAAAAAATTGATTTAACTAATCTTTTGTTGTTTCAATGTCTATTTTGCATTATTCAAGCATTCGAAAAAATATGAATATTAGCAAGAGGAAATCATATATAAAAAAAACTATACTTAGTTTTGAATTTTCTTTTTTTTTTTTTGTGTAATTGGTTTCACTTATTTTTTTTATTTGTCATTGTTATTTTTTTATTAGTAATTAGCTTGACTTTGAATTTTTGTTTTTTTTTTGATAATTAGTTTGACTTTGAATGTCTGCAACTTAAAAAAAAAAATTAAAATTTATAGATGAGAAAATATTTATATGTTAAAATATTTTTCCCAGGTTATAGACATTTAAAGCCAAACTAATTACCAATAAAAAATAACAATGACAAATAAAATAAGTGACACCATTTACTCCAAAAAAAAATTCAAAACTAATTTTATTGATTTGGTTTAATTGCAGCGTGGGTATATTTTTTGTAACATTTGAGAAGTGAGAAAATATTTAAATATTTTTTTTTAAAGTTGTAGACATTCAAAATCAAGCTAATTACCAATAAAAAAATAACAAAAATTTAAAGTCAAGCTAATTACCAATAAAAAAATAACAATGACAAATAAAAAAAATAAGTGATACTAATTACACCCAAACAAAAAATTCAAAACTAAGTATAATTTTTTTTTATTTGCATCACTTTTTTCTTGCTAATGTTCATATTTTTCCGAATACTTGAATAATGCAAAATAGACACCGAAACAACAAAATGTCAGTTAAATCAAATTTTGTTTTGAAGTGGTGAATTTTTTTTATTTTATTGATTTGGTTTAATTGTAGCGTGAGTATATTTTTGTAACATCAGAGAAGTCACAACAGCAGAGAATTTAAATAAATTGTCTTTGCAGTTACAAGCAGATCTACTGAGCAATGTTAGTTTAGTTGGATTTTTGTCCTATATTTTGAAATTTTGATTTGTAGTTCAATGTGGCTGATTTGGTTGATTGGATTCAATGATTTAATTGTGTTTTTAATGATATTTTTTATTAAAACTAGACAACATATTTATTAGATTTAACTAGAGGTTGAAAAAATGAATACTCATTTGGTGGAGAGAAGAGCCGCTATGAAGAAATGAATGACATGATAATTTTGTAATAGTATTAGTTTAAGTTCATGGAGATTCTTGGATTGTGTTAATGTTAAATGATTCTTCTTCATTTTAACCCTTAAATTTATTTTATTGAAGACATTCTTGGATGCCCTATTTTCTTGGTGAGTTTTTTGTGTTAAGAGTATCTTTAGATACGGGTAATAACTATATATATATATATATATATATATATATACATGAGAGGGAGCATAGAGATGAAAAAATGTGTTTAAAACGTGAGAGAGAAAGAGAGTTATATACATATAGAGTTGACTATATGAGATATAAAGAGATAGAGAGAGGGGGACAGTTATATAAGAAATGAGAGTTTTAGAGTCGTAAAAGAAATAAAAGACCAATTAGGATCGTTGGATTTATAATTCTCAAACGATGAACTGTGAAAAGTTAAAAACAAACAAAACTAGTTACTTTATTATATATATATATATATATATATATATATATATATATATTTTTTTTAAAATTCGAATCCGTTAAATATAAGATCAAATTTGGATTATTGATGAAAAAAAATATCAATCTATTTCTAATAATCAGATTCAGATACAGATCCAATTCGGATCAGAGCAACTAGTTTTATGGATGAGGTTTTAAATAATTAAATTGAAGTATAAGAGTTCTAAGTGCTTTAGGCATGAGGATGAACAGATGAGCGTGATTAATTTGATATTGTTTTATGTATTGAAAATAAGGTTTCGTTAATTAAATAATAGTTAAGTTTATTATGCGTAACTCATATGAACCATTAATCGCTTGTAAATTTATATATAAACTCATGACTAAAACACTTTTAACTCACCTATTTTAATGTATGGTGAAAAATTGAACAATAGTTGTTACCAATTTATAATAATGAGGATATAAATTAAAATTTTTAATATTGAAAGAGATAAAAGGACAAATTAAGAATTGAAGCATCTAATGCAAAGTGACATTAGAACAACTCCAACCAACTCAACAAAGGGCATCTCTTTTAGCTATTTTGTTGAGCCAATCCAAAAAATTTGGCTCCAACTAGCTCTCTATTTCACTCGCTAATCTGTCTTCCCTCATTCTCACTCATCAGTTCTGGCTAGCAAGACCCTCTCTCATCAGAGCTCTTTCCCCCCATTTTTGGATCATTCTTCATTAGAGTTTTGCACCAATTTTGGGGTTCTCGTCTTCATCAGAGCTCTCACTCGTTTCTCTCAGAGTCTCCCTGCACTCTCAGACTCTCTTCGTTGGTGGAGCATCTCTTTTTCTCAACCCCACACTCTCTCCTCCTCTTCTTCCTATCTCTTACTTTTACTCTTCCCCTCCCCATCTCTACCTCCAAATTCCCCTAAAATCCCTCACGCAACATCCAAACCTCCAGATTCCTCTGTGAACAGCCTGATTTTTCAAAAAGATATGGATCTTCTCAGTTCAACAGACTCCCCATTAAGAATTGTAATTTTTGATTTGTTGGATTTTGTGGTTTACTTGATGGGACTTGTCTGATTAAATTAATTTGTGATTTTTGTATTATTGTTTAGAATAGGGGAAGACGATTCCTCTCTAAAAATCCAGTAAAACTCTCTAAAAAAAATTCAAAAATTTAGCAAAATCTCTCAAATATTTTATAATATTTACTCTTGCAGCCTATCTTTTATGATTTTTATTTTTGTAACCCATAATTGATTAAATTTATATAATGTATAATTAAATTACTATTTTTTAAATTTTATTATTAAAAATTAGTTAAAATAATTACCCTTGTTAGCTATTTTAAACAGTTTATTTCAAAATTATGTCTCCAATAGTCTAGCCATCTGCCATTGCTATTCCCCGTAACCTTCTTTCCCTAGGAAGCTCGCTAGTTTGTTTTTGCGCCAATTTTTTCGGTCTACAGCACCCCCATTTTCCTTGGTTGTCTTCACTCGTCGTCTTCATCAAGCACACAGCGACTTCATCGTCCACCGAAGGTATGCTCTCTCTCTCTCTCCATCTTCGTTCATCGCCTCCATCAACCACACAGACTTCACCCAAATGCTATATGCCATATAAATCCTATATACATACCCAATCTCTCTCTCTCTCTTGGTTCCCACTGACAAAACCCACAAAAAATTCAAAAAACTCACGAAATCCCACCCAAAAATCGACTGAAACCCCACCCATCTCTCTCTCTCTCTCTCGATTCCCACTGAAACCCCCAAAAAAATCACCAAAAAACCAAGTCAAAACCCCAAAAAATCCCACCCAAAAATGGACTGAAAACCCCACCCATTTCTCTCTTTGCGTCGTTCTGTACGGGTTAGGTGGAGAGAAGACAACCGAGGAAAAATGGATTGAAATCAACCATTAATTTTTATTCTATCACAAAAATGGATTGCGTCGCTCAGTGGTTTTTTGATTTTGGACATGGGTTTTGGAGATCGAGAGAGTTTGTGGTGGTGAGTTTGGATTTTGGAAATGGGTTTTGGAGATTTTTGAGATGAGTTTTTGATCATTTCAAATGGGTTTGTGAGATGGAGTACTGATCACCCATCTTTTACTATATTTACTCTTGTAGCCCATCTTTTATGATATTTACTCTTGTAGCCCATAATTGGTTAAATTTAGTTGAATTGCTATTTTTTAAATTTTGTTATTGAAAGTTAGTTGAAGCGGTTAACTAAAATAGATAATGTGGTTGGAGGAGCGAATTTGAAAAGTAGTTAACTAAAGTAGATATTGCAATATTTAAATAAATTTTGAGTAATTATTTTAGATAGTATTGTTGGAGATGCCCTTAGCCCGGGTGTCCTCAATGATTCTTTTCTTCTTATATCATCACTAAGTTGAAACTTTTCAGGGGATTTTTCATAAGAAAACATGCCAGTGAGAGAGTTCTTCAGCACCTTCTCAACTTTCAGGTACTAACTTTTCTTGTGATTTCTTTGTTATTCAATTATTTATTGGCAGTTTGTTTGATCTCTAAAACTGAATGTGTAAAAATATCTGTATATGTTATTTTGTTCTATCGGATTCCAAAATATGAATATTCTTACTCCTATAGATTTGTAGAGATGACTTTGACGGTAGAGAGATAGAGCTAGTTTCTAGATATCTCATTTTCAATTTTCTTTCATATGTTTTGTTTCTTTTGGCACCAGAGAAACTTCCTTTTGGATAAATAAAAAAGAAACCCATTTTAAGGTTGAAATTAACGGGATGAATCAAAAAAAAAATAAAAAAAATACTCTTTTTGTTTTGTTTTGAAACCCATAATATTACTGCCTGAAAACCATACATTAGGGGTTAGATTGCAGTTACTAGAAAACCATTGGAATTTTTAGTTTTTTGGGATTCTTCAGTTTTTTTTTTTTTAATGAAGTTTTACTTTTTTGGTAGACTGCTGTCTCAGAACTTCTTGCTTAATTTTGTAGAACTATATGTTCATTGCATTGTGTTGAATCAGATATTCTCCATGTGACCGAGTCAGAGGCGTTTGATGAGGAGGAGCTCAATCCTAGGGAGCGGTTGCTTTCTAACAGAAACTAGTCAATTGAGTTGTATTTGAATTCAAATTCTGTTTTAATAAGTTTACTAAAATACAGTAGGTAGTTAATTCCAAAGAAAGAAGCTAAAACATTTATGTGTATTTATGCTAAATATTGTGATTTTCTCTACAGTCCGCTTGTTCTGATATATGTATATTCTCGTGTTAATGGAATTAATGTGCTTTATATTGTTTCCAATACACTGTAATTTAGGTCTTTTTACCTCAACTGGGTTTATTATAAGCTTGCTTAATGCCAAAAATATTAATCAAATTGAATTTCCCTTCCCTATTAACTAGGATGTCAGAGAGGAGTGAACTGTCATTTCATGCTCCTTAGAATTTTCATTTAAACATGGTGCCGCTTTATTTTTTTACCACGTTGTACATCTCTACCAATCACATTGGGCCTCTGTTATGGAGTACTGTAGATGCGAGGATAAATTCCACAGCTATCCTACAATGAAAAGTTTTTTAGCACATTGACTTTTCTTGGAAAATGAGATCTAATCTGTTTGCCCATCATTATTTTTCTCCCAATTTCTTTTGTTTTTCCTTTCAAATTTTGTTATTGAACTCCAAAATAATATTCCCATTTTGGTTCTGTATTCTATATTGAAGCACCCGTACACGAATTGTATTCTAGTTCTTCATTGTCTTGAACATTTTTTGGAGAATGATGATTACCATGGGTTTACATATATCTCTTTTTGATTAACAAACACAAATTCATTTGAGCCTGCTTTCAATAGTCTTAGGTTTGTGTCGAATTTGGCAATCAAAAGAATTAACTGGATGTGTTGTTTTGTTTTAGCAGTAACAGAGTAACTTCATCAGATAATTTACCTATCTAATTCCTAGTATATTTTCCCCTTGATTGTGTAGGCTCAAATCATGAACATACTTCACCACCTCCTTGTACGCTTCTAAGTGTTGGACAGGTGAATGTACTCACACCTGGTTTTGCTATTTATGTCATTTCTCATGTAGCATTTGGTGATATATATGGAGGTCACACACTTAATATGTTAGCCATTTCATATATCTAGTATACATTTTTTTATTGATTGACCTATATGTTCAATACACTAACTAAGGGTGGTTACCTCTCTTAGCGTAGGGTTAATATTTATAGTCACACAAATGGCAGATTAGTTATTTGATGATTAGTTATTTGTGCATCAGTTTTAAGAAGTTTGGCCATGCTAGCAAGGCAAGGTGTGGAAGGCTGACCTACCCAAAAAAGGTGTGAAAGGCTTGGTAGTTCTACAAAATGTTTAAGAGACACAAATTTATGCCACACATGTGATATAAAGTCTTAGTAAGCTGGGTATGGTAGGGATGGAACTTGTGCTGCAAGTACACAATTTTTCTTTTAACTTGGAATGCAGGAAACGGGGATGTACATGTTGTACTCAAGGGTAGGATTAGGGTTATAGAGGTTGCATTGTCAATGCAATACCTTGAGAAATTCTCTAATGCATGGTCAATTGTATGTGGAAAAGTGGATGCTTTATGAAACACATATCTTTCTATTTGTATGACACTGCTACATTGGAAATTATGATGTAGTGTTTTTGTCGCTAAATTGAAGTGTTCTGAAATGATAGTATACTATGTTTCAGAACATATGCGACAGATGTTATCTGCAAGTAGATCAGGTTTCTGGATAATTCTGCAATGGATGGATATCAATTATCAAGCTGTATAGAGTCTATAGACATATAATGTTAGGATATGTAGTGAACAACCTGCTATTTGTGGTTCCATTTTTAGCATGTTTCTGCCACCACCGTTATTATTCTATAAAACCTATAATTTGCGAACTTCCAACATAATGAATAACTTACAGCTGGTAGCTTGGCACAGTGCAGGTTGTTTACAGATACACCAAAATTTTTTGAGCCATAAAGTAATTGTGATGACCTTTAGAACTTTGATTACTGGTTTCCCAGTTAATTTTAATGGTGGTTTAAGCTTTATGCAGTTGTTCTATATCATCATACCCTTGCATACTTATTAAATCCCAACCTTCAAAAAGAAAACAAAAAGGAAAAAAAGAAACGCAAAGCATATTAATGTATTCTTCCGGTCTTATTGTTTACATTGTTTGTTTGATCATTGATGTCAAATAACTTCTTTCAACTTATAAACTGTTGTCTATAAATATGTCCCGGGAAAAGTATGAGTTTGTTTACAAATAAAAGTAAACGTAGGAGTTGATCCACACTTTTTGAGGTGCTTAGGTACTGGGAATGGAAAGGAACCATGTAATTTGGAGTCCAACATCTTCATTGAAGAATAACAACTATCAAGCCTGAGACTTAAGTGAACATTAGCTTGTGCAGCATGGTTATTTAGATATTGTACGCCTTGTTTTGGAAATTGAGAAGTGTCCTTTGAGCTAACTGCCTAACTTTTTACAGGCATTTTCTGGTACTCAGAATTTCTCCATTCTTCGAAAGGACGAAGCATGGAGAGTTAATGTACGGATTCAAGGTTGTGACCTCAACCATGGCTATCTATGTGGCACTATGGAAGCACTTGATGTTCCTATGGCAGACTCACCAGTAAGAAACTTCTGTTTGAGAAAGATAGCTATTAGTATCTATTTCATTTTTTCATTTGGATTCTGTTTAATGATGCATATGTAGCAATTTTACTTGAAGCAAATCTCTTGAATGTCATCAGTAGTTAATGAGAAGATCGTAAAACTGAATAGCTAGGAAGTTTGCGATACCTTTCATCTACAAGGTGAGATGTTGAAAGCTTGGGAGTAGTTTAGCAAGACAGTATTCATAAAGCAGGCATTCTTGTTTTGGTTTCATGAGTATATATATATTTAGCATCACCCAATGCACTTATATGCTACCATTTATAGATCCAGCATAAGTCAAGTCTTTTACCAAAATTAGATGGAATAAATTTCTGGTGTAAACCTTTAATAAGGCAAAACAAAAAGGGTGGTTTGCTCCCCGCTCCCTGCTTCCGCCACTGCGAGGTGTAAGGAGGGTCCAATATACGCGGCCTTACCACCATGCAAAGAGGCTATTTTCACGACTCAAACTCTTGGTGATTGTTAGTAATGGGCCTTCTATCAGTCTTTCCAAATATCTAAGTCAGTTTGAATATGTGATTGTATAAACTTCACTAGTGATCTATTTCATAGTATTCCCAGGCTTTTTTTCTTAAAAGGGATAATGAAATAATATAAAGGGAGGAATTTGCAAACAATTTGTTAGTTTCATTATTTTAATGATAAATTTTTCCCATGGGGTTGCTTATGTGACTAAAATTAGAATAGGGATGGAAACAAAACTTATTAGAATACATGGGAAGACGTATAACAAAACGACTACGGAGTGCTTGTTGGGTGGACTCCCATGACTTTTTTTTTTTTGGGGGAGGGGGAATCAGGTGTAGTTCAACCTGTTGGAGGCTCGAATTTTTTATGACATCCACCATCTTATCTTCTTTACTGTCAATGATTAGTTTCCCAATGAGTTAGTAGTATTAGGCTACTAGCCACTAGGAGTAGCGACTAGATTTTAAGTTCCCCATACAAATGGCTGTTCAAGTGCCTTTTTTGTCGTTTTACCTTGTATTCAGGTTGTTACTTTCTGGGAAGGAGAGATTGTTGACACAAAGAATCATACTTTCTTCACTGGCAAGTGGGAAGCAAAGTAAGTTCATGTCTAACAACTTACTGCTATTTGGATTACAGCCAACAACCATTCTCCCATGATTGGTTTGGAAATTATGAACAGGCCTGAAGACGACATAAGGCACTGGACCAAATTTCCATCTTTCTCACCCCTTCTGGTAATATAGTTAACCTTTTTCCTTGCCATTCAAAACATACGCTCTCTTGATTTTCTCTGCCCTTCTCAGAGCAAAGTGGAGGTTGATGGTGGGAGATATTTGGACTTAAGTAACTACCCCTGCATATTTATGGTAGTGTGTTTTTTGCGATTTCATTGAGTGAAGGGAGTTTACGCTATGTCATAATTAATTTCCATCTTCTGACTTTGACCGTGTAGAGATGGAAAGAGCAATACTTTGTGAATGTTGGAACTGACTGTGGGTTAACCATAGCTGGTTTCTACTATGTTTGCTTCTCCTGTAGTGATGGCTCCATCAATGGTTTCTATTATGATCCCAATAGCAGGTAACCCCTTGGTTTTATTTCCTTGTTTTGTCTTAAAATCTTGTCATAGTTTAAATTTACTCTTTGCTCTTCTTTGGAATAAAAATTCCTAAGGTATCACCTCCCAAAAAATTCCTAAGATACCAGTTTCCTGTTTTGTCATTTCATGGAGTTGTATATAAGGTCATATAGACCAGATCACTCATCCTTTTATGTTTTACACTATGTTTTTTTCTAACCTTTTAAATTGTTGAATACGCAAGTTACTAAAGAGGATATACCTGAACCAACCTTGCAGCCCATTTCAGAAACTTGAGCTGAAGTCCACCAACGAGGGAAGATTGGGTTTCATTTTTTCCTCCCTATGAGTTGCAATGAGATGGAACTAGGAAGGTGTTTCCAATCTCGATAATGATAAAGTATGTGCACCACATTGAGCATTAGACGCAATACTGCTCCTTCAATATTCTACAGCTGCTGCAAAAAAACTCTGATGTTGAAGTGTGTTTTTGTTTAGATGGTTCTCAAAGATCAGTTGATGAGATGTGGTTTTGTTTTAAACGATGCAACTTGTGTTTGAAAACTATACTCAGTTATGTGCTGAGTTTATTGATGGTCCGATTGAAGCATTTCATTTTGTCTGTTCGATCATGATCTAATGTGATACATATCATTGAAAGATTGGCGCCAGAGAGTTGGATCTGTTTCCTTGCAAATTGTTTGTTCCATCAGAGCTATTTTTCTGATTTGTGGGTGTCACTTGATTGTAAAGCAATGGTTATAGGATTCGAACCCTAACGACTACTCCCTAATAGGCTAGACTCTACCACTGCACCATTCCAAGAGATTTCTCCTAAGAGACTAGATACACCAAAGACTCTGAAGCTCCTCTCTGCTATACAAGTTTTGGGGGATGCCCACTGCAGTCCTACCACTACCTGCCCATTCATCACCCTCTTTCTTCTGAACTCAGGCAATATACTTAAAAGTAATTGGTTTTCTGAACAGCTTAAAGTAAATAATTCAGGGTAAATTTTATACACACTTTTTGTAAATAGGCTTATTTTCAGAGACATTCTCTTCCGATTTTGAAACTTTATTGACACCCATTGCCAGAGTTTGTGTAGTAATGGAGCAAACGAAAAAGTTATTATTCTGAAGTTATCCACTATTTTACATATTAACTGTTTTTAAATTAAACGTTAATTGGATTAAACACAATGTTTACTATGAAATTAAATTAAACATAATGTTAATTTGATGAAACTGAATGTTAATTTTAAAAAAATTAATTTGATAAAAAATATTAAATTCATAAATTTGATCCTTAATTGGATAAAATTGAATGTTAATTTGATACAATTGAAAGTTAATTTGGTAATTCATAAAATTGAATGACAATTTAGTATGTATTTGATGAAGTTGAATGTTAATTTGGGATTCAATTAAAGAAATGATGTTAACTTGATCAATTGGATGTTAAATTGATTCAATTAAATGTAAATATGATATAATTAAATGTTAATTTGGTGTAAATTTAATAAAATTTAATATTAATTTGATAAAATTGAATATCGATTTGATGAGATTGAATGTTAATTTGCTGAAATAAAATGGTAACTTTATAAAACTTAATATCCATTTCATGTTAATTTGGTATTAATTTGATGGAATTTAATATTGATTTGATAAAATTGAATGTTAAATTAACAAAATTGATTGTTAATTTGATTAAATTGAATATTAATTGCTAGTAATTTGATGAAGTTTAATGTTATTTTGATAAAATTGATGAAATTAAATATTAATTTGGTATAAGTTTAAATAAATTGTATGTTAATTAGATGAATTAAATGCTAATTTGATGAATGTGAATAATAATTTGATAAAATTTAAGGTTAATTTAATGCTAATTTAATAAAATTGAATATTAATTTGATAAAATTAAATATTAATTGTATAAAATTAAATATTAACACGATGGTTCAGTGGTGTATTTAAATCAGGTAGGAAGGGGGGAAGTGCTACAAACAGTGGTGTGTTAGTGCAGTAATTTGTGTAAATGGAGACAGATATGGGGTGTAGTGGTCGTGAGGAAGATGGGGATAAAATTGGCATTTAAAAAAATAATGATAACATTACTCTTTTTTGTAATTGTGAGTAATGGTTCGTCATGGCAAGGGGGTGTATTTGAAGGGAATATACAAACCAGAAGAGAATGAGTGAAATTTTAGAATTGAGAGCGGATGCGGCTAAGTTAGATCTATATATATATACAAGGAGTGTAAACAATAATTTAAAAATAACTCTATACTCACCTATACAAAAGCCTTTCTAGTTGGCTTTTAGTGTCTATACATCTTTCTTTTTCTGGCGGCGGCGGATTTAACATGGGCAGCTGCCCCCACTAAAGTTTTAAAAAATTTTGGGATTAAGGTGTAATTTTAAAAATTTTAAGAATTTTTTAAATTTATCCCATTGAAATTTTTTTTAAGTATAGGATATATTAATATAATTTTTAACCCTTAAAAGCTAACTTTTGACAGTTCTTCCTCATTTTTCACGCCTAGCAGTTGCCCCCACTGAATTTTTAAAAAAATTTGAGACCTAAGTGTAATTTTAAAAATTTTAAGAATTTCTTAAACTTACCCCACTGAAATTTTATTAAAGTATATGATATGTTTATATAATTTTATACCCTTAAAATCTAACTTTTGGCGCTCTTTTCATGCGCTACTTTTTTTTTTTTGTAAGAAGGACTTCTTTGTCCAGACTTCCAACGGCAGCCCTCTTCTTTCTTTTATTTAATTTCTTTATTAGTTCCTTTGGTATATTCATCAACAAATCACCCTATTGGATTCAATCATCGTACAAATCAAATTTAAAAAAATCCTAGAAGATTATGTTGAAACTAAGGAGAGGTAATATATTAACCAAATTTTGTGATAGTAGTATTAGCACTAATCTAAAATCAGATTTTTTATATTAGAAAATTAGTTTAACTCTTGTAGAATTGATGGTTGTTTGGTGTATTATTATGATTTTATGTAGGTTTTTTTTTGTTTCGTCTTGGGTCAGCACTCAACTATTTTGAATTTTTGTTAAAGCTCATGTTTAGATTGATTATCTAAAATTCTTGGTTAGTACTATTTTTCTTCCCTATGATTAAATTGCGTTAATAGATTCTTGAAATTCTAGTTGAGATTATATTTTGATTATGTGTAACCATTATCTCATTTGTTACGAACTTAATGACGAACTCTTAAACTTGAATCTAATTTAGACAAATATTATTTTTTAATCAGTTATGAA